CTTGGGAGAGAAGAGCCTTGAGAGAAGGGAAGGGAATTACAGTGCCCCCAATATTCTCTGCTCCTTCCTGCACAAAACATATGCTGATTTGTAAGAGGCAAAGGTCCAGAAGATGAGCAGAGAGCAGCAGCTCAGAGTGTTTGCTAGTCTTACAAGGCCAGGAGCAGTAGAGATAGGTAGGCACATGGACAGAGTGGGCGAGTGAGCTCAGGACCACTAGGTCAAAACCTGAGGCACTAAGACCAAGATTCAGCAAAGGGAACCACAGAGAAAATAGCTTGTGTTCTGTACCTTTTGTTGTTTGTTTGTTTTGGCCTTTCAAGGAATTAGCCAGTATTTATGCTGCCTGGGTCCAGATTTTAAGAAACCAAGCAGAAAACAGCTGGCAGGATAAAGGGTGAATGGAGCTTTACAATGATCTTATAGTACAGAGGAGACAGAAACTCCACATGGGTCCTGTGAGGAAGAGGCGGCGTGATGGGCGTCCCCGTCTGTCCTTTGAGAAGGACTAGGCCTAGGGGTGGGGCAAACCAGAAACCTACCAGTCATGATGAAAAGTGAAACAACCACCCCACTTGGAGCAAGGTAATGTGCCCTAGCCGCACCTGCTTCCCAGGAGACAGTCCAGCCTCTCGGAGTGAGGATAGCCTGTGTAGGGCCTCCTCCACTACACGGCATGCCAAGAGACAGAACTCAGTGACCAGAGAGAGAGAGAGAGAGAGAGAGAGAAGAGGTAATGGTAATAGACTCATGTTATCCAAAGATTACAGGGTATCAGACGTGAACTTTAAAATAGCTGGGATGAATAATTGTAAGAAGATAGATGACAAGATGGAGAGATTCACCAGAAAACTAAAACCTACAAAAAAAAAAGATGGAAATTCTATAAATTAAAAAAAAAAAAAAACAGGAATAAAGAGTACAATAAATACTTAGTATATAATTCAGATAGGCTGGGCATGGCAGAAGGGGGATGAACAAGTCAGTAGCCATCTCAAGAAATTGGAAAGAAAACAATAAAACCAAAACCAAAGAAAAGAGAAAATAGTGAAGATAAGAGCAGGTATTGATGAACAATTAACTGAGTTATTAGCCATGGCGTCACAGAAAGTCCCCAAGATAGGAGCCTGGATCTTTGTGCTGGCTTTGTGACCACAGCACTGTGTGATCTCGGATAAGCCGCTTGCCCTCTCTGAACCTCAGCTCTCCATTTTCAGGGAGGTGTGTGTGGGGATCACCAACCTCAGCAAGTGGATTGAGGGTCTCATGGGGGAGACCATAGCTACTTTTTATTAGAAGCGGCAGCTTTGCCGACAGGCTGCATGGTTTGTGCAGGTATTTCTCCAGCAGCCACAGCTTCTGGGCCCTGCAAAGGCCAGGGTGGGGGGGGTCCCAGCATGGCTCAGCAGGTGTTTTCCATGGCTTCCAGGAGTTTCACCAGCTCTCCCAGTCACTGCTAATTCCTCCAACTTCCTATTACCAGGAAAGTTTCACTTTCATTTGGGACTATCCATAGGGAAATCCTTTCTGAATCCTCAAAAAGGTGCTGACATTTGTCATTGCTGTGCTGGTGACCCCGTTAGACTGTCACATGCACATTCTCTGTGTGTCCTCCAGTATTCCTGCCTGCGCCCAGGTGATGACGGCCATTCTGCAGGGGAGAACAGGGAGCCAGGCAGCCTCCCTCCCTGATCTCTGTTCGTTCCCCTCCCTCTCTTCCTCTTGCCTGTTTTAGGAGGCACCCAACTTACTCAAACTTGGCATGCAGAGATCCTTGGCCCAAGGAGTCCTGGCCTAGGTTCCACTTCAGGGAGCGAGGCTGGCGTCTCCACGCTTTGCCGGCTGCCCCATACTTGGTAGAGCACAGGGAAGCCTCCAGTCCTCATTTCTGCCCTGAGGCCTGGGACGGGGTAGGAGGGGCTCTGGCTTTTCTCTTGCAGGTTTTTCCAGGGCTTTTGAAAGTCTCTGCTGGCCATGGAATCCGCCTGAGCCCTCTGGCCTCAAAGATGCAGCTATCGGGTGCCGCAGATCAAAAGAGACCGTGGCTGCCCGTGGCCTCTGCAGCTCAGCCTTGCTGTCTGTCCCAGCTCTCACTGCACCCTAGCATCAGCCCAGAGCAATAACACCTCCCACGCAGAGCCAGGGCCTTGTGGGGAGCCTGACCTGTCATCCGGAACCCTGTTTGATCAATAGTCTTCTATTTAAAGGAACTTGCCTTTGTCTTGGCTCTGGGGTCACAGTCAGTAAGGGCACCTTGGGCCCTGTTCATTGTGAAGGCAAATGTGGAGAGATTGTCATTCCTCTGCTCAGTCCCTCCGTAGGTTTCTGTGTCGCTCACAGAAAATTTAGTCTTTGCCTGTGGTTTCTCCAGCCCAACGTATTCTCACCCCACTAGTGTGCCTGGGCCCTCTGTCACCCCATCACCTTCCCCTCCCCTCCACACTTCCTCTGATCCGGCCACACCAGCCTCCTTTTTCCGGGAGGCTGTGGGTTCTGTCCGTGCCTGGGAGCCTCCCCTCAGCCCCTTCCCAGCGCTGTCCAGCTGCCTCACCCAGGGCGTGGAGCAGCGTAGGGACCTGCAGATAGGCTGCCAGTGCGTGGGATGAACGACACGCCTCGATGGGTTGGCAGCCCCGGGAAGTGATCAGAATCTGTGTCATCAGCCCCGTTTCCCCATTAAAGAGGTGGTACAGAGCCATGAGGTACCTTGCGCAGGGTCACGGAGTGAATAGAGCGGCACAGCCTGCCGCGAGTCTAAGTTCTCTCACCTGCGTTCTGGCTTCTCTGCTCAGCAGTCTGAATTGTCAGCCCTTTCATTTCCTTTCCTTCGTATCTACACTTCATTGTGCCACCAGCCTCCAATGAGCACCGAGACTGTGCCTGGTGACAGCCACTACCGCGGTGAGCCTGAATTTCTGTCCTCACGCTGCTCCTAGTGCAAGGGAGAGACAGTCAACAGTGCAGGCGGCGAGGTAGGCAGGGCCTCCTCCAGGAGTCGGCCGCAGCTGAGCCTCAGAGAGTGAGCAAGAGCCACGGCCTGAGCTGGGTGGGATGGGTTCTGTTGGTGGGGACAGCCTGGGAGGGCACCTGGAGGCAGGAGCGACTCTGACCTGTGTGTCAGTCATATTGCTTCAAGTTACAGATAAACTGCTTTACACAATAAAGGGGATTTATTTTCTCATGTAACTGAAAAGTCAAAATGTAGAGCAGGCCGCAGGTACAGCCAGGTCAGGGGTTTAGACCATTTGTCTGGGGTTTATTCATCTTTAACCTCTTCCAACACAAGCTTGCAAAACGGCCAGCATGATACATCACAACTAAACAACAAACCAGCCAGAGCAAAAGAAAGTTGCTTCCCTCCCTATAAAAGTTTGGGGTTTCACTCTGATTGGATGAATTAGAACACATACCCATCCCTGGACCAATCACTGGGGTAAGAGGGGTGGGAACCCCCTACCAGCCAAGTGAAGTCAGAGTCCACCTGCGATAATACAGATGTTCATCTAACTTATCAAACGATAGGGCTGCTCCTCGATGGGGAAACTGGGGGGACAAGTGGATAGAACACTTGTGGGCACCACGAGGTTGTAAATGTGAGCCAGGTCATTGTGAGAAGTAAAAAATGGAGCAGTAGGCAGGGGCCAGAGCAAAATGGCATTGCCAGCTGAGCTGAGGAGCTCATTCCTTATGCTGCATCCACCCGGCTTGTGGTTAGGGAGCTGTGGGGGCATCAAACATAGTTCAGGCCCTGGATGCCTCGAAAGGCACTGGAGGTTTGACCTAGCTTGTGAACTGCCTCTCTTTCTACCAGATCATCACCAGTCTCCCTTCAGCTCTCACTTTCCTGGAAACACGTGTCCTGCTTGTTGAGGATGGGGAAGAATGGATGAGGCAAGCAGGGGTTGGAGGCATTTCAAGCAAAGGCCAGAGAGGTGTGCTCAAGTCAGAGCCATTGCTCCCTACGGAAGCCCCAGGAAGCCAGTGAGCTCTGGGGGTTGTGCGTGGGTGTTTTAGACATCATGTGCTTTCTTGGGGAACACGCACCCCTCTTTGCCTGTAGCACTCCATCTAGGGTCTTGTGAAGACCAGTTAACAAGATAGGGTGTCAGCTCTAGGGAGGAGCTCCTGGCCCCTCTAGATACAGGGAATCAGAGGACAGTGGATTTGGACTCAGGTCCTCTTTACCCATTTCCCCATGACCTTGGGAAGATCCAGCAATCTGAGTCTCAGTTTCTTCCAAGGCAAGAAAAGGAAAGTAGTGTCTATCTGGCAGTACATTTTGAGGATTATGTGAGAAGATAGATTGTCCACTCTTAGGGAATCATCAAAGACACCCACTCCTTCATATATTAATAAAGGAAAGTTAAAGTTCAGCAATTGCCCAGCAGTTACCAGTAGCTCAGCACACCATTATCTTATCTTCATACCCATTCTATATGTAGAAGTGTTGTTATCCTATTTTGTAGAAAAAGCAATCCAGGGCCAGGAAAGTTGAATAATTTTCCAACGGCACACAGCTGATAAAAGAGAACCTGGATCCAAAGTCCCCCTGTGGAACTGGGGCTAATTGGCAGAGCGTGAATGCCTGGGTAGGTGGAAAGCTGTGCCACTCTCTAAACTTGCGTTTTTTTGTTGTCACTGAGATTTGGAATCTGTAAGAGAATGAAGGAGAGGGAGAGTGGCAACATGTGTGTGGCAGTCCCTGTGTGTATGCCACTGTGCGTGCATCACTCAGTCATCTTACAGGTTCTAGTTGTAAGGAACATGGGAGGGACAACTCCTGTGCCATTTGGCAACCTTGCCAACGGGCAATGAGATCCCATTGTACACACACGCTGAGATTCAAGAGGGAAATCAGTCACGCAGAGCCACCTGCCAAGTTGGTTTGATGCCAAAGGAGAAGACCAGGCAGTGCACCCCAGTGGAGGTGGAGGGAGGAAGGTTCCGTTATAGCCAGGTCTCAGAAGCTCACCCTGTTTGCTTGCTCCTTTTCTGTGCAGATGACAGCCAGCCCTCGGCCTCACCCTCTGCCTCCGCCGTGTAACTGCTGCATCTCTGGCCACAGCACAGGGAGGACGAAGCTATAATTGAGGCTTATCTCCCCTTACTCTTATACCAGCACTCTACCTTCAAGGGCCTCACCCTCAAGGGACCTTGGATTGTCAGAAAGATTAATTACCACTCAACTCTGTTGGAGGGGAAAGGAAATCTCTGATTAAAGCTTCGTCAAGGGACATCGTCAACTCTGGGAGGCTTGCAGGAGAAGTAGGCTACTTTATTTTCTGGAAAGACAATTGTAGGCAAGCAGAGCCAACACACCACGAATGGCCTTTGTGTACCGCATGGTGATGTCAGGAACACTGGGGCGGCCGTGCCCCAGCAGGAGTGAGGTCGGCCCCAGCAGCCCCTGAGTGCTCCCTGGGAATTCCTGCTGTCTCTTCGGATCAAGCTGCCGTCTCTGGGATTTTTCCTGTATTTCCCCTCCGTTAGGAGAGATTTCCTCCAGCCCGTCACAGGGAGGCTGCCAGAAGGTAGTGAAGATGATGACCATGAGAAGGAGGACCCTCAAAGCACTCATCTTCCTCTTCCTCTTCATCTTCCTCACCTCCTTCTTCTTCAACTACTCCCCCACCATGGTGACCACCACCTGGTTCCCCAAGCAGATGGTCATGGAGCTCTCGGAGAGCCTAAAGAAGCTTGTCCAGTACAGACCCTGCCCCTGCGGCCACTGCGTTGGCCAGCGCAAGGTCTCTGCCTGGTTCGATCAGAGGTTCAACCAGACCGTGCAGCCGCTGCTGACGGCGCGGAACGCCCTCCTGGAGGAGGAAACCTACAGATGGTGGCTGGTGAGGCCTGGGGCTAAGAGTGGGGTGGGGTGGACGGGGGGGCGGTGTCCCAGACCCGAATGCTCTGTCCCTGCTGTGCTCCTGGGGCTGGGCATTTAGCAGGATTCAGGTTATGGTTCATTTAGCTATTCAATAGCTGTTCATTAAGTGGGAGGGCTGAGCTAGTTTCCTATGACTGCCATATGAAAATGCCATAAACTTGGTGGCTTACAAGTTCTCAAGTCCAGAAGTTCAAAATCAAGCTGTCGGTTGGTTCCTCCTGATGGCTCTGAGGCAGAGTCCAGCCCTGCCTATGTCCTGGCTCCAGTGGCCCGGGGCTGTCCTTTGGGTTCAAGGTTCTTCCTGGATCCAGGATGGGCTCCCCTCGAGATCCTTAACAATTTCAACTACTGAGGGCCTCAGTAAAAGTAGGGTCACATTCACCAGTTCTGGGATCTAGCACTTGGACATACCTTTTGGGGACCCCTATCTCACCCACTAGAGGTATCAAAATGCAAAATAGAGACAAGATCCTGATTCTCCTAATTTTATTCTGGCTGGGAGAGACAGACAAGAAACCAACAAGGTGGACAGTGCTTTGAGGAAGAAGAAATGTGGTTTGTGACAGAAACCTGGGGAGGGGCCCCTGAAAACGGGGTGTTTGGGGGTCTCTGAGGAGACGACTTGAGTTGAGACACACAGCAGAAGAGGCACCAGCCCTGGGAGATGCGGAGAACGTGTTGCAGGGTCCCCAGCCAGCGAGTGCAGAGCCATCGGTGGCATCAGCTGGGCATGTTGGGGAATGGGGAGCTCCGGGGTCAGCGGGGGTGTGGGGTGTGACGTGGGTCATGCCAGGTGCTAGGAGAGGGGTCTGAGTGGGTGGTGCCAGGCAAGGAACCTGGGATGTTTGTAAGTGCAACAGGAGGCCGCTGTGAGATTTTTATCAGGAAGTTCCACGATCTGATGTAGCCATCTGAAAGGTCATTCTGCTTGTTGAATCCAGAAATGTCCACTCATCCTTACTTACTGAGTACCTAATAAGCGCCACTAAGGTGAGACAGAAGGGACAGGCTTCCCCTTCTTGGGCTGCAGGCAGGGCAGAGAGAGAAGGGGAAATAGACAATCAGAAGCCAGGTGGCGGTGCTACATCCAAGCCCACTTGAGGTCTAGGGCTATCAGAGAAGGCTTCCTGAAGGAGGCACTCACCTGAGGTCACAAAGCCAGGGCAGATGCAGTGAGAAGCTGGCAGCTGCAGCCTGAGGCACCTTGAGAATCGTGAAGTCCTCTTTCCCTTCAGAGTGAGGGCGACATTGGCCGTCAGCCCTTGGACACATACTCCCTCCCCCGCACCCCCACTATCTGATTCCCAGCCTTGAGCCCGTGGGCAGGGCCAGGCTGAGCAGCCAGCAGAAGCCTTCATCCCTCCTTCCTCAGGGTTTCGGGAAGCAGAAAGCCATCTGATGCCAGGTCCCCCAGGCGACCAGGTGGTCTGGAAAAGTCTTAGGCAAGAATTGTTGTGTCCTGAGTCCCAGTGCTGCCTCTCTCCAAGTCGTTTTCCTCCTCAACCAAAGCAACATCAAATTCTAGTGAATTCTAGCCCTGTAGGAATAGGATTATAGGAGGAAGTGAAGTGAAGGGATGACTCTTTTAGTTCAGTTTACAGGTTACCACAAAGCAATCACGCGGGACCCACTGGCCCCTGCGACCTTGTCCCCAGGTCTCTGTCTCAGATACCCAGGACAGAGTCTTCTCTGTCCCAGCCCCCATTCTGAGACAAGCCACACAGAGGGCTGAATCTGCCTCCTCTGCTCGCCCCAAACTCAGAACACAGAGTGTATGTTCCCCGGGAGCATTCTGAAGGGAGAGAATGTGCCTCCCTCCCCTGATTCCTGCCCCCTATATCTGTGCCCAGCACCAAAACACAAAAGAATATAATAATACCTTCTACCCAGTCCTGGATATCAACCCACTTTACCTCTCTAAGCCTTGATTTTCTCATCTGTAAGATGGATGCATATAACCTTTCTCATAGCACAGTGGGAACTAAATGAGAAGGTCCCTCTAAAGTTCTCAGCACAGGCCTGGCACAGATGCTGGCACAGCCCTGCACACGCCTTTTCTAAGCACCCTCTCTCCCAGCTCTGATCTGTCCCCTCCATGTAGCATCTGGCATCTGGTGGAGACTCAGTTGGGAGGGGTGAGAGAATGAATGTGTGTTAGCCCCAATAGACATCATTCACTTACTCAGGAAACACATTGAGCCTGTACTGCAGGGCAGCCTGCGCTGCCTGTGGCTTGGACGCTGAAGGGGCCAGACAGACAAGCCAGCAACAACTGGGGATTAGAACAAAGCCTGCAGAGGATCGCGCGAGCCCAAGAATTGGAGGTTGCAGTGAGCTATGTTATACCACTGAATGCTAGCCTGGATGACAGAGTGAGACTTCGTCACTAAAAAATGATTAAGGAAGGTCTGAGGACCTGCATGAAGTCCTGACCGTGCTAACCAACCCCACTTCCCCACCCCTCTGCAGACAGTGACCACCTTGGGCCCCTACATCCCTGCCACGGCATCTACTTCTAGGGAAGCCGACCCAAGAAACCTTGCTTTCTCAGGGAGCTTATACCTGTCAGCAGGCATTCATTAAGTGCCATTGTATACAGAAACATACACTGGAAATTAATTAGGAAGGAAGAGAAGGGATGTCTTTGACTTTAACATTATGTCAGCAACCTTCTAGTCTTTTTATGGTCCTTGACAAAGGAGAGAGGAATAGAATATTCCCTCCCAGGGAAAACAGGGATCTTGCCTGAAACGGCCTGCCCAGTCCAACCCAGCTGGCAAACAGCAGGGATAGGCTGCCCATCTAGTTTCCCACCCACGTTCTCCCTGGCTCTGCCATTGACACCCTTACTGCATGACCGCAAAGTGAGTCCCTTCTGGGGTCCAGGCCCCAGTGTCCACTTGTGCCACAGAAGGCCTGGAGCACATCTGAGATCCCCTGAAGTGTGGAGCTCGTGACACCAGAGACACAGGGTGGAAGCCTGAAGGTCGTCCGCATGCCTGCGGAATGAATCCTGCTTTAATTCTCCTTCTGCTCGTGCCGTGCAGGACTATAATTTGACCTGGAACTTCACTCTGCACCTCTTTAGCACCTGGCAAACTCGTTCCCACTAAGAGAGGATACTTGCCGGGGCAGGCAGCAGGACAGACCTGGCACCAAAGAAGGTTGTTTGGTTTTCATCTTTTTGTACAATCACTGTTTTACATCTGCCAGGTAATCCCTGCTTTCCACTTGTAGTAGAGATATGAGGTTTCCTTTTCAAATCAACTAACTGTGTTTTCTTAAGTGAGTCATTAAAGAAAAGCCCGTCGGCAATAGGTGAGATGGGTGTGCTACTGTGTGCTCGCTGACTAGGTGAGCCTTGCAGTGTGCCACCAACACGTTCGTGTCCCGGCCTACCTTGAGTCCGCAACCCTGGTGCCTCCATGGCAGGGCACACATGTGCCCAGTAGGTACTCAGCAAATACCACTGCGGGATGGATGCGAGGACACCAGGTTGGTCCTTAATTCAGCACACTGTGCCATGCTGCCCTGAGACAATGGCACAATGTGTATGTACGTGCTAGCCGGGCCTGAGCACATCTTCATAAGCTTGGTGAGCGCAGCAGCCCTTGCTGGTTGGGGACCTCGTGGAAGTTCCTACAGGGGACCCTGGCTGTGGTCCTCTGCCCCAGGGTTCTCAGAGAGTGGTCTCCAAACCATGAGACCAACAGCATCACCTGCTAGAAATGCAGAATCAGCCTCAGCCCAAGCCTCCTGAGTCAGGGTCTATACCTTCGTTAGGTCCCCAGGGATTGTCTGCACATTTGGGAGCCTGGAGCTGCTTTAGGGGGTCCCATCAGAAGCAGATGGTTAGTGGCTGGTCACGGTGGGTCACGCCTGTAATCCCAGATTTTGGGAGGCTGAGGCAAAAGGATCGTTTGAGCTCAGGAGTTCAAAACCAGCCCAAGCAACAAAGCAAGGCTCCATATCCACAAAACATAGAAAAATTTGCCAGGAGTGGTGGTGTATTCACGTAGTCCTAGCTACTTGGGAGACTGAGGCAGGAGGATTGCTGGGGCCCAGGAGTTTGAGGCTGTAGTGAGCTAAGATGATGTCATCATACTTCAACTTGGGTGACAAGGTGAGATCCTGTCTCAGAAAAAAAATCAGGTGTTTAGTGTTTAATCTAGACCCCATTTTTTTTTCTGGTAGTATGTACCATAATATAACATCACTTTTACTACTTATAAGTGTATAATTCGTGGCATGAAATACATTTTCACTACTGTCTATTTCTCAAATGTTTTTATAAGCCAGACACGAGCTCTGTACCCAGTGAGCAGTAACTGCCCGTTCCTCCCTCGCCTCAGCCCTTAGTAACCTCCAGCTTACTTTCTGTCTCTATGAATTAGCCTTTTCTGATATTTCCCATGAGTGCAATCATTGTATTTTGGATTTTGACTTTTTGTGTTTGGTTTTTTCATCTAGAGTAATATTTCCAAGGCTCATTTCTGGTATAGCGTGCATCAGGACCTTGTTCCTTTGCGTGGGTGAATAATACTTTATCATATGGATATATCACATTTTGTTTATCTAGTCGTTCGTTAATGGGTACTTGGGTTGTTCCCCCTTTTTAGCTATCGGGAATAGTGCTCAGTGGATGTCAGTGTGGGTCAGTTTGAGTCTCTGTGTCCAGTTCTTTGGGGAATAGACCTAGGAGGGAATTGCTGGGTCACATGGTAGTTTCATATTGAACATTTTAAGAAACTGCCACATTTTCCGCACTGGCCACACTGTTTTACATCCCTAGCAACAAAGCGTGAGGTTCCCACTTTCTCTGCATCTTCACCGACCCTTGTCAGAACTGTGCTAGCAGGTGTGGAGCGTGAGCTGGACCTTGCTGCTGTCCAGGGCATCTCATGGTCTTACCATAGAGGAGAGGCCACGTGGTTGTCACCTAGAGAAGTCTGGGTGTGCTGTGTGCCTCTCCTGGGGTGTGCGACTCCTATCCAGGTCAGGCTAGGTGCTCCAGGGATCTCCCTGTGCATGTCCCTTGTCACTAATCTACTGGACAGTAGCCAAAGCCACTCTAGCCAGTTCTTTCTCTCCTAGCCACTTTGTGTCCCTGGGATTGGGATTAGCTGATGGGACTGACCCCAGAGCTCACCTCCCCAGCCCACCTCCCCCAGCCCTGATTGCAAGGCTGGACTTTCCAAAGGTCAAGATTCCAGGGCTCATCGCCTGTAGCTCAAGCAGCTAAGGCACCAGCCACACACACCAGAGCTGGTGGGTTCGAATCCGGCCCAGGCCTGCCAAACAACAACGACAACTAGAACCAAAAAATAGCCGGGCATTGTGGTGGGCACCTGTGGTCCTAGCTACTTGGGAGGCTGAGGCAAGAACAAAAACAAACAAACAAAAAAGATTCCAGAGGTTGGAGGTGGAGTTATGTTGTGGGAGAAACCTTAACTGGGTTTCTAGAAGCCTGGGTTCAAATCCTGGTTTGGATTTGAGATAAGTCACTCACCTTATCTGGCCCCAGAGCATCCTTCCTCATCTGCTCTTGAAATGGGACAGCACTGTGGCATGGTGACAGGGTCAGACGTGGCACTTCTTAGGAAATTCCCCCAGGGTTCATGATGAGTGAGGAAGGCAGATGCATCAACTGGCAATCACTGCACCGTGTGGCCAGAGCTCCACCTGAGCCCGTGCAGGGAGGGGATGTACAGGGTGACCAGCTTGTCCTGTATCCAGGAAAACCTCAGCCCTGGACATTCCTGGATAATGTGTCACCCTTAGGATAAAGCTGGTGTTCAACATTGCCTGGAGGCCAGGGAGAGTGTCTTGGGGCAGCTGACCCTTGAGCTAGGTCTGGAAAGATGCAAACAATTTGCTAGGCAGACCTCAGAGGCCTTTGTGTACTCAGCAGACAGCTTATTCTTTAGTCTGACTGGAGTCTAGCTCTTGGGGCTGGAAGCTGTGAGGGGTGGCTGGACAGGTGTCATAGAAGGCCTTACTGTCATCAGCCACCTGGCCCTGGTGGGGGCTGGAAAACTGGCACCACCACCCACAGTCACATAACAACTGGGGGGGGGCAGGGACTTTTTTTTTTTTTTTTGCATGTCCCTGATGTACCACCCATTGGTATGCAACTTTAAGGCATCCTCACCCTAAACCTGGTGTCTGGACAATGCAGGATGACATCTCTGCAGGTGGGTGGAAGGTCTTTCAGAGAGAGAAGGGCCCCCAGACACGGAACAGGTTGGAGGAAAAGTGATGAGTTTCGCTTGGGACTTATCAAGTTTGAGGGGCCTGTGAGACCAGGTGTGACAATCTGAGCTGGGTCACCCAAGACTAGTCTCATGTGGCTGCAACAGTGCCTAGCGTGTGGTGGGTGCCCAGAGCACATCTGAAGAATGCATGAATGGTCTCTTTGCTCCTTGAGCAGCACCTGGGCTCCCTGGAGGAGGAGGTGAGGCAGTTGTATCCAAGCTGTGTCCATCTCCAGGGCCCAGCAGAGATTGGGCACACGGGAGGCCCTAGTCAATAACCCACAGCAGGTGGCTCAGGGGCCTGCTAGCCAGACTGAACTCCTTCCTTCCCCTGCCCACAGAAGCTCCAGCGTGAGAAGAAGCCCAGTAACTTGAACGATACCATCAAGGAGCTGTTCAGAGTCGTGCCCGGGCACGTGGACCCCATGCTGAAGAAGAGGTCTGTGAGCTGCCGGCGCTGTGCTGTCGTGGGCAACTCAGGCAACCTGAGGGAGTCCTCATACGGGCCAGAGATCGACAGTCACGACTTTGTGCTCAGGTAGATGCTGGGACCCTCGCCCCAAGCCCACCACACTGCACCAAGGGGGCCCTTTAGAGCTGGAGAAAGTATCTTGGCTCACAGTCAGAAGGTCAAGGCTTCCGTCCCAGTATCTTTGGACATACCCCAAGCCCCTTGCAGTGCCTCCTTGCCTCAGTTTCCCCATCTCTGCCTTGAAGGATGGGGATGGACTAGAAGGGCCTCTCTGGGTGCAAAGAAGAAACCATACACTGGAGGCCCCTCTGTGGGTCTCACGCTTGGCACAGGGAGGCCTGGGGAGAGGGAGGGCTAATGAGAAGACTCTCGCTTGTCTTTAAAATTCTCTGCAATTTGCCATCTAGGCCATGATATCATGCATATGTATATACATTTTTTAATATAAAACACTTTATATATATATATATATATATATATGCTTTTAATATAAAATCTATTTTTCCCTGTCAACAAATAAAATATATAGGGTGGCACCTGTGGCTCAAAGGAGTAGGGCGCCAGCCCCATGTGCCAGAGGTGGCAGGTTCAAACCTAGCCCCAGCCAAAAACTGCAAAAAAAAAAAAAAAAAAAAAAAAAAAATATATATATATATATATATATATATATATATAATTCCTGGAAGATGCCCCTACTCTGTCCTGGGTTTCTTGTAATTCCTATTATACTATTCACTACTGACCCAGGATGAAGAACCCAACAGGGGTGGGGTGGCCCATCCCCAGCCACCTTCTAGAACAGTCTCTTATTTCTGTGATCCCCAACTTTGGTCCTTAGACCACTCATCTGCCTCTTGGACTATCGCTGTTCCTACTGTCCAGTGGTGTCCATGGTGAGGGGCAGAGTTGGGTTCCTGCCCACGAAGAGGGACTAGGGAATGCCTGCTGGATGCGGCTGTATATAGCAGGTGGTCGATGGCGGTGTCAGACTCACGAAGTCACGGAAGAGGAGGAAGTCACCAAGGCCTTCAAGCTGCATCTTAATGGTCCCCACTTTACACATGAGGAAAATGAGGCCCAGGGAGGGAGGTGACTCTCCTGAGGTCCCACCACAGGCTTGCAGAGCCCATGCTCACGCCATGAAAAGTGACTTTCTCTCCCTCCTCCTCCCAGGATGAACAAGGCACCCACAGCAGGGTTTGAGACTGATGTCGGGAGCAAGACCACCCACCACCTGGTGTACCCCGAGAGCTTCCGGGAGCTGGGAGAGAACGTCAGCATGGTCCTGGTCCCTTTCAAGACTATGGACCTGGAATGGGTGGTGAGCGCCACCACCACGGGCACCATCTCCCAGTGAGTCTCCTCCGGGGGCCACCTTGCTACCACCCTGGTACCAGGCCAGTGGGCACGCCTGTCCCTCACCCTGGCCCCATCTGCTGTAGCACCCCCCAGCAAGGCCCAGCTGTTCCACCTGCAGTGTGGACCTGGACTCGGGGAGGGGAGGCGAGGCCAGGGCAGTGCTGAGCTCAGAACTGTGGCCTCAGGCCTTGCTGCTTCCTTCAAACTGAGGTGCTCTCATGCTCCGAGTGGGAACTCAGCACATATTGTGGCCTTTAATCCTCACAGTGGCCACTGCCATTAGCTTCGTTCTCTGAGGTGGCCCTAAGTCCCTGACTCTTCCCACGGAGAAGTGACTGAGTTTCCAGGTTTCCATGGGCCCCTTGTCTTAGGCCAGGTTTCCTGGGAACAGAGCTGGCCCAGGACTTGGGTATAAGAGACTAGAGGGTTGTACCCTCAGAAGCCCAAGAGTGAGGAGGCAGCCGGAGCAGGGGAAGGAGGCTGGACACAGGCTGGGCCACCATCTCCCTCTCAGTATGGAGTCTGAGCCAGAAGCTGTGCTCATCCCGCATACTGGGGGTACTGGGGACCTCACAGGCCAACAGGTGGGCAGGGCTGCAGGCCCCACTTCTCTGCTTCACCCCTGCTGGCTCTTCAGGAAGCCAAGGGCAACAGCAGACCACCCTCCAGTAAGCCAAGGTCGCCCTCTACTGTCTGTGTGGAGGCGGGACCTGGCTGTGCCTGAGATGTCAGGGCCTCATCCACCTCCCGGGGCTGCTTGCCCCAGAGCCTCTGCCATTCAAACACTTCTCTCTCTCCACCTACAGCACCTACGTCCCTGTCCCCACGAAGATCAAGGTGAAACAGGATAAGGTGAGTGGAGCTTAGGCCCCTGCCCTGGGAGAGCCCCAAGCGCCTCCAGGCTGGGGGAGCAGCAGGCCCCACTTACCTTTATCTGGGAAGAGGTTGGGAGTAGTTCTCAAGTGGGGTCCCCAGACCAGCAACATCATCCAGGAGCCTGTCACAGATGCAAATCATCCAGCCCACCCAGACCTGATGAATGGGGGAACCTTGGGGACTGCCTGTCCATCTGGTTTTAGGCTCCATGGCTGCCAAGGCAGGCAGCGGCCTGAGCGTCTCCAGGCCAGACCACACCTCCTGTGGCTCCATGTCCCTCCGTGCCTCCGTCTACCCCACTGATGCCCCTCGTATGGTGTTGGCCAAGAGATGGGCCAAGAGCAGAAGGAGGGAAGTGAAGTGCCTGCCTTCCCGCCCCTCGGCACACCGAGAGTTAGAATTAGGCTCAGATGGATTAGGTACCGTGTCTAGGGCACACAGAGAGCTGTGATACTTTGAGAACTGAAGGCTCCCTGTGCCTTCAGCACCCTGTCCTATGCATTGGGCCTCGCAGCCACAGAAAAGCAGCCACCTGCGTATCTTACAGGGCAGGACTGGTGGACAGGAGGGCCAGGTTCAGTGATGGACCGACCCCCAGAAATCTGCCAAGTTGCCCTTCCAGTCCAGTCCTCGGGGCTGGAGTTTGGCTTCAGGGATGTGTCCACCCTCTGTTGCCTGAGGCGTCCCTGTCACTGTCCTCAAGAAAACTTTTGGTGGAGGACCCAAAACAAAGCCTGATATGGGGACCCCTCCTAGCTCGGCCTTGGCTGTGTGACATTGAGCCGGGCACCTCATGTCTCTAAGCCTCATCTGTAACATGAGAAGAGGGAAACCTGGGATGGGGGGTCATTTTAAGGATAGGGATGACTCCCCACTAGTGCTGGGTAGATGAGGTGGCCCGTGTGTGTTTCTCTGTCACGGCTCACTGCCTGGCCTCCTTGTGTTTCTGGGTGCTGCCTCAGTGAGTTTCCTCCCAGTCCTGGGGGGCCTTCCTCTTCTTTGTCTCTGTCCATAGTGCTTGTCACCTTCAGCACCCTCTGTCTCTGTGACCCAGAGAAGTGCCCATCTTTCCCCACTGGCACAGAAGCCTACGAATGCAGGCGGTCAGCTGTGTCACCATGGCCACGACAGTGTGTGGCACCTGATAGGTGCAACGTGTACTCTGCCCACCAGAATTCACTGCAGGCCACGGCCTCCCCTCCCCTCCCTGCAGATCCTGATCTACCACCCGGCCTTCATCAAGTACGTCTTCGACAACTGGCTGCAGGGCCATGGGCGCTACCCATCCACCGGCATCCTCTCGGTCATCTTCTCCCTGCACGTCTGTGACGAGGTACATTGTCCCCCCGCTCCCGCCTGCTGGGCCATTCCATATTCCCAGGAGAGGCAGAGGACAGGGTGGGCAAGCTGGGTAGCCGTCTAAGTTGGCTGGAACTCTCTGGAGCTTGGTAACAGAAAAACCAAGACTCCCTGTCTCTGCAATGGGGCTTGAGAAGGCTGTCTCCCCAGGGGCTTGGGGAGCGCCAGTGCTCTACTGGAAAGCTCTCAGGAGCAAGCACGCTGCACATTGAGCCCCCAGCAGAACCAGGACCAATGGCTGGTGGAAGCTCAGATGTAGCTGCAGGATGAAGCGGGGGTGCTAATAGGGAAAGCTGCCTAAAGCTGCGGTTCTCAGCCTCACTTCGTCCTTAGAATTGTCTGTGGGGCTGGCGTGGTGGCTCATACCTGTCATCCTAGCTCTCTGGGAGGCCAAGGGGGGAGGATCCCTTGAGGTCAGGAGTTTGAAGTTGCTGTGAGCTATGGTGATGCCATGGCACTCTACCCAGGGTGACAGGGTGAGACTCTGTCTCAAGAAAAAAAGAATCATCTGTGGGGCAAAACTGCAGTACCCAGGCCACAACCCAGCCCAGTGTCACCAGAATTTGCTGGAACCAGGCATCCTTGGGTTCCTTCCACCCAATGAGAACCAGTGATCTCAAGAAGTGCCCCTCACAGCTTTGCCTCATCAGACACCAGGTTGTGTGCTGGTTTCCATCAGTGACGAGGGGGCTTGCTACCACCCAGAGAAGGGGGCAGGAAGGTGGGCCCCAGCGGCCCCCACCCCTCCCTGGCCCTGGGTTCAGGCGGGACATTCCGGCATTCCTTCTTATCACACCTGACCCATCCCCAGCCCCACACCACCTGGCTATTGGTTGGAAATCCCAGGAAGGGGTCCAGGGCACTGCCAGGCAGGTCCACACTCTTAGCCTTGGTTGGTCTGATCCTCCCCTGACGTCCCCAGCCAGAGATGTCAGCCCCTCTGTCATTTCCTACCTCCACTTAGCTGCTCACAGACCCCCTGGGATTCTACCTCTGAAATACCACTCCCGTCTCTTGTGTCTTGTGCAGCCCTCTCCTCCCTGCTCTTGGGTGGCCCTCTCCACGGTGCGCTTACTGAGAAAGCAGCATGTGGCCGGAACTGTCCCTTGCCCTGCTTTGTCCCCACCCCTCAAATCTGTCCTCTACTGCAGCCCCTCACCTGTTCTCTCTCTGGAAGACCTCCCTAGTCATCTTGTACTCATTTCCTAAGACCCAACCAAAATGTCACCTCCTAGGAGGGGCTTCCTCTGGAGGCACCGACCGACCCCTCCCTCCTCTGTGCTGGGGGAGTCTGGAATTTAGCCCTGTGCCTCTAGGGACTGCCCCTAATGACCGCCATCAACTACAACTTCCAAGGCTGAGATTTGACCCCTGTCCCTAATTCCTTCTGCCCAGGTACAGTGATGACTTTGAGACATCCTGCCCAGTGCCTGGAACAGAATGAATGCTTAGTCAGTGCTTGTCACATGTGCGAAAGCCCTGCCCAGTGGGCAGTGAGGGTCCTTGGACCTGATGGCTACTGGCAACAGGGACGAAGAGTCAGCAGCTTCCTCTGCCTTGTTATCGTTATGGTTCTTGGCCTCGTTTTCCAGATGAAGAAAGCGAGGCCCAGAGAAGTGATTTGATGTGCCCAGGGCAGTGTGCAAGTGGCCGGGCTGGGATTGGGTCAGTTTGCTTGGCTGCAAAGCCCTGCTGTCCGTTCCACCCCACGGCCTCCTTTCCTCCCCTGCCTTCCATGGCTCCTCAAGCCTTGGAGAGCAGGTTACACTTGCTGCAGAGGTGAGACCCGGCCTCCTGAGGACACCATATAGTGTAACCTCCCAAGATGTCTCTGGCATTGGGCTTCAGTTATACTTAACCTGTATTTATGTTACCAAGCTCCAGAGGGTCCCAGAAACCTATAGAAGGGATTTTCTGTATCCTTGGAAGTGCTGTTTACTATTTCCTGGAGGTTCTACCCGCGGCCCCACTGTCTGGTTTTCACCTTTGTTTTGTCACCACAGGTAGACTTGTATGGCTTTGGAGCAGACAGCAAAGGAAACTGGCACCACTACTGGGAAAACAACCCATCAGCCGGGGCTTTTCGCAAGACAGGGGTGCACGACGCAGACTTTGAGTCCAACGTGACGGCCACCTTGGCATCCATCAACAAAATCCGGATCTTCAAGGGTAGATGACGCTGTGAAGGGTTTAGGATGGACGCGCCATCACGCCTCTGGGTTTGCAGCCCCAGCATCTTGCCAGAGCTGTGCTGTCTAGAGGCTTCGCGGGCCAGCCTCAGGGGTGTCCCCAGGTCACCCTTGCAGCCTCCTGCACCCCAGCCTTTGGCAACTTCCACTCACCAAGGTCACTGAACTCTGCTGAGCCTGTGGAACAAGTCTCAGAACCTGTTTCGTGTGGGGAGAGCTTCATCCCACTGCTGTCCTAAAGCTGGGGAAACTCTGGGAAAGCTTCAGTCTCCAAACACTAAAATCATTTTGGCTTCTGGGACAGGATCAGGAGTCAAAGCTGAAGACGCTCCCATATTCTAATAGACAGGAGCCTTTCCCAGGGAAGATGGAGAGACATGCTGCCTCCAGGGGCCCAGCGCTGACTGTCAGGCTCTGATTCTCGGCTGGGATGTTTCTGAGTGACAGTTACCTCCAGGACATAGCCACGTGGGGCTACCCAGGTGCTGGGGGCACAATGCTGCCCTTCTTTGCACGAAGCCTGGCCTCTCACTTGGTGATCGCCCTTTGTTCCCAAAGTTCAGTTGTGACTTCCCACCCCAGATCTTCACAGAAGCTTGGCAGTGTGCTTCTCCTGAGATGCCTCTTCCCAAGTGGATGTTCCCCTGAGCAGTCAGTCTCTGTGGTTATAATCACAGCTGATCGCAGCTCTGCCCACTCCCCTGGGCCTCGGTGTTTGGGGAAGAAATGCATGCATTGGCTCAAAGGAGGCAAAAGCCCCTCTGGGGAAAGAGGGTCCCCTCCGATAGCACACCCCTGCCCCAGAGCTGGGTACATCTTCTCGGGTTTCCTGAGCCTGCACCTAATCTGGAATAAAGCTCGGATGACACTCAAAGCCACCCAGGGGCACATCAGCTGGGAACGTACGCTCTTACTTTCTCAGACTGTTGGATTTGGTGTCTGTAACCCCCAGCACCTCGCAGGGGGCTTCCAATAGCATTTGCCCCAGGGGCCTGACCTCTGGGCCATGTCCCTGCCAGCCACCTCTGGGATGTCCTGGGGCTCTGGGTGGGGGGCATCCAAGGCGTGGTGACTGCACTTACCTCATCTTTTCTTCAGCCTCCCTGATTATTTATTGATTTTCTTTTCTTTTTAATTCAGCTGACATTGTGTGCATTCTGGCTTGGTTGCTGGTCCTGGTGTTTGGATTAAGCCTGCTATTGCCTGACCCAGCAGCAGGGAAGAGCGGCTTAAAGAGAGACTTGTAGGAATTCTCAGATTTGAGGGCTTGGGGCTGGCAGTTGGGCGAACCCTGCCATGTCAGTCCTTGGTGGTTTGTGCAGTGCCTGCCCCACCCTACCATTCCAGCCAGACCTTGCTTCCCATGTAGAGTTGGAGTCATTCTGAGGCTGGCAGTGTCCAGAACTCATTGAAACCCCCCATTGTGGCCAGGTGTGGGGTGGGTCAGGCAGACGAGGAAAGTGATGCTTCATCAGGAAAACCACTTTTTCTGTTGAAAACATTTGTTAAAAGGCCACTATTGTTTGGAGAGGTGCGACCGCTTAGGATGCAGTCTCAGAAGTCATGGGATCAATTCCCCCCACCCTAGGGCTCAGAACCCCCCTCTGCAGCCTGGGTAGCAGGAATTATGAGGGCTTAGGGACCTCATTCAGAGGTCAGAGATGGCTTCAGGCCATTCACGAGAGTCCCCAGAAATTGTAGGCCAAGTTTTTCCCCCTGAATTCTGTGCATATGAGCACTTGTTTGGGGAAAGATTCCATGGCGTTTGTTACAGTCTCACATATTCCAAATTCACAAAGTGTTAAACAAACAAACAAACCTGTTTCAGCTTTAAAATTCTCCAAAACCGAAGACTTTCTTGATCAGTGCAGGCTGTTGTGTTGCTGTGAGTCACTCTGAAGGCTCCCACCCCTGCACGGCGCCCAGCCCTGCGTGGCATGAAGAACTCAGCAAACGTTTGTGAGTTGGCCCATCAGTCCCCAGGACCAAGTTGAATGAAATGAACGCTGATAGAGAGGGCCGTATGGACTATGGGCCTCTTCTCCTTTTCCTAAAAGTGGGTCTGTTTGGGGATGGTAAGCTCAGGAGAGCAATCTGTGTTTTGGGATTTTGCTGATCAAGAGCAGGTCCCTAGGGTGAAGTGGTGTCCATTTCTGAGCTGGGCACTGCCTGGTGGTGGTTCTTGGTCTGGACTTCGAACTGTGAGACACTTCCAGCCTCCCACATCTGGCTCTCTCACTTTATAATGAGAACAGCATGGCCCAGAGTAGGGAAGTGGTGTGTAGCAGTGACTGGATTACAACAGCACAAGTCAGAATCTGGGCAAAAATAGGGTGTAATTGACTCTATGTTGAAATTGTCCAAAGGTGGGCTGTGTCCTGGTAACTCCCTATCCAGCATCTTGAAAAGTGTGACCACAATGCCGGTGACTCTGCCCTGCTTTCAGCCCTCAGCGCCCTGCGTAGGCGGGCAGGTGGGCCGGCTCTTCTACCCCCTAGTGAAGGAGGCAGCGTTTCTGTTTTGCAGGACACTCTTCTCAAGGCTCACTGGCTTAGCAGTAGATACTTCCCCAAATTAATGCCAGTTGTTGTGGCCAGAACTAAATGCACCAATTGGCTCAAGCCAACAGGAGCCTATCCCTGGGGTGAAGGTGTCTGAGAATCAGACAAGAGTGTTGCCCAAAGGGCACTGGGTGTGCCGTCAGCAGGAGAACGAGACGTGCCCATGCTGGGCAGGCAAGGGCAGGATGCTCCTCAGCCCCTGAATCCCAGCTGAGGGCTCTGCAGACATAAAGCTCCTTGGAGACCAGCACTGGGCTCTAGGCGGGGAGCAGACAGCACTGAGCCTAAAGCCACGAAGTCCAGGGCTGTGAGGTCTCAGCAACACCCAGCCTGTGCAGTTCCCCCGCACTCCAGGAGGTGGATCCTCTAGAGCTGCAGCCCCACGCCCCTCTCCTGGCCTGGCAGAGGTTTGTAACCTGTGTGCTTCCAGAAGGAATGGGGGCAGAGGACTAGGTTCATGCATGGGTGGATGCCTTTTGAAACTCTTTGTCAACACCATGCAGCAAACTATATGGGCATGGATTAGTGAGAAAATCCAGGTACAAGAAAATAAAACAAAAACAACAGTATAACCAGAGGAAGTGAAGAGGGCAGTTAAAATCTGGGTGATTCTTCTTTTTTATTCCTCTCTTAAGCCTAGACTTGCCCAACTATATTTTTTATTTTTCTTTTTTCCAGATTTCTTTTTATTAAATCCTAACTCTGTATGTTAATGCATTTATGGAGTACAATGTGTATACCATGGAATACTATGCAGCCGTAAAAAGCTGGGTGATTCTTCTATGGAGAGGGTCCATTGAGAGGCCTTATGAGTGCTAACTCTGCTGTGGCCAGCAGGGGGTGCCAGAGGCCCATCCTACCTCAATGTGGGTCGGGCCTCCTGGTCAAAGGGGGCCTAGAACCCCAAAGAGCTCGGGGTTTACTTTAGCTCTTCTCTTCAAGCTAGTCTAAAAACAGGTAATGTGGAAACCAAAAGTACTCTCTCTCCCTCACCTCGTTATGATCAAAAATACTTTCTGCAGGAAAGCCCAAGCCCTGAGAGGCCAGTGGCCAGCTTGTCAGTACATTAGGAACTCCTTTTGTCCCAAAAGAGCACTGAGTTTCCTGCAGGCAGCCAACCTGCTTCACGCCCTGTTCTCTCTGCAAGAGCCCATATGGTCATCCGTACCGGGGAGAGACAGACACCTGTGTTATGGCTACAGTTTTTCAAGATGCTGGATGAAGCCTTGCTGGGAGATCTCACCTCCAAACAATATAAACATGGTGCCAGTTACACCTGAGTTTTGCTCAGACTGCCATCAGTTGCCAGTCTGAGCTGGGACATCAGCTTTAACCCTAGCCTGCGTCAGGGACCCCTCTCCGCCGGGGTGGGGCAGGTTCAGGCCCTTCCTCCTGCACAATCACTTTAGCTCTCACCGATTCCCATCAAAGCCAAAGTTCCTCGAGCACTTTTTCTTCTTTGCAGTCCTGTGTGTGTGGTTGCCGGTGGTTTATAATTTGCTTTCTGTTCCCACTCATCTCTCTGTTCTTCAGCTGAGCACTGATCTGAGTGCATTTGGATGATGTTAGTAAGAGTCCACTGTCCTCAGCCCCTGCTCTATTTTATTTATTGTTGAATATTTCCAATGACCAATCAAAGTGAATTAAACGAGCTATTTTATCGTTTGGGTGGGTGCGTAGTTTTTCTAGAAGGGCCGTGCATTAGTGCCACCTCTCTGGCTGCTTCCATTCAAGCAATCTTTTCAGTCCTCAACACCCCACACCCAGTGTCCCCAAGTTCCGGAAACAGAGCAGACACCTTAGAGAGGCCTCCTCTCAGACCCAGCTGTGCTGCTCCCTGCTGACTTCTGAACCTCAGTTGCCTCATCTGTCAAATGAGCGCAACAATCATGTCCCTCAGAGTTGTGTGAGATCAAAAACAAGCATCTCAGGAGGCCCCAGGAGCTACATGCCAGCTGCCTGGACATCTGCTGAGTGGATCACTTTAGCCAGGACCTAATGTGAGCTGAGCCAGGGTCTGTCGTCCCCCACAGAAGTGGGTACACCCAGGGATAGATACAAGTCTGGGCCAAAGTTGGCACTGATTTCCAATTTGGATTTTGTTTTTTAAAAGATCCAGAAGCCCAGGATTGGGACTCTAAAATGTAAAGGTGCTATATAGAGAGATGATACCTTACAATTTGTGCAACGCTTTATAGTCTGTGCGGCTCCTCCCTGGGCACAGTCTGGAATCCTCACAGCAGCCTGACAAGCTGGTGAGTGGACAAGGACAGAGGTGCAGGGAACCGAGCCTGCCTGCGTGATCCAGGGTGCCTCCCAGGCCTGAGTTCATCTGAGACGTGTCTCTGGAGCCCTTCCAGAGGCAGTCCACAGGGGCAGCATGCTGCAGGCTTTCTACTTATAAGCTGTGTGAGTCTAAGCACATTACTTAGCCTCCCTGTGTCTGGTCTTAGGGATCAAGCTGGAGGGACGCAAGGCCTGCAGGCCAATATGTTGAGGACAGAATGACTCAACAGATGCAAAGGGCTTACAGCAGAGCCCGGCACCCTGCAACACCTGTTAGCTGTAATTAAACCAAACACACGCAAGAAGCCCTAACAGCAGGACTGTGAGATGAGCAGTGCGGCTGCAGTGGGAGCCCAGTGTGATTTTTAGCCCCTTTCCCTACTTCTCACACTCCACCCCACCTCGTTCCCCACTGCCTGGGCCTTCACACTGCTTCTGCCTCTCCAGGTGGTTTCTTCAACTCTAGAGTTCCCTTTCTCCATGCTGCTCTCACTTCCTTGAGGGGGCCCTGCTCTCATCCATCATTAACATGCTTCCCCGGTCTACGGGAGCCCTGGCTCCCCCAAATCCTCTCTGGATTGGCCTCACAGCTGCAATGTAGGACAGTGGCCACGAGGTGGCGCCACAGTGTGGCGGCCCAAGGGACAGTTCCTCCGGGCTCCAGGTGCCTGGCCACTCCTGTCCCTATGTGTCACACCCTGGTCCCAGGCTGCAGCCCCTGGAAGGGCCCTCCTCAGAGAGCCCTGAGGATCTAAAGGCATTCCTTCAGGACGCTCCCAGCAGTTTCCTGGAGCCAGGAGCCAGAGCCAAGGCCCAGGGCTCTGCACCCCTCCCACAGCCCTCCTCAAAGCAGGGCCAGGGATACCACCCTAAGAACGCCCCTCCGCCTCCCCACATGTGCCTAATCAGCTGCAAAGAGCAGCCAACTGAAACCCAGGTCAGGTCCCGAGCAGCCGCTTTCTAGTTTCTATTCTTCTGAAGGACGTTTACTTGTGCACAAGGATTAAAAGGCCCATTCTCTAGGCCTGGCCACCATCAGTGCCTTCTGCATGTGCCCCTCATGCTCCCTTCCTTTCTGTTCTGCTTTTAATTTTCCCTGGGGTTTAGGGATGAGCCCAGATGCCACTTAGCCCCCTCGTGTGACTGAACAGCTCTAAAACTTGGCCATCCTCCCTGGCCACAGTGTCACCTGGAAGGTTGGGGGGACCCCATGGCAGGGCCTCCCTGTTGGTCATCTGGATACCTTTGGCAGTTGGCATATTCATGCCAGGGTTCATGTCACAAAAAGAAATTGTGTGTTAAGATATGTGTGTTTATATAGACCCAGAGGCCCACCCACACCCTAACCAAGGGACAGAAGCCCAACACTGGCCTAGGTGAGAGCCAAGTGGGCTTGGTGGGCATGGGGTGGGAGCCATGCTGGAATCTCCAGAGCCACTGGAGACCAGTGTGTGAAGAGAAAGATGGACAAGACAGGAAGGTCTGAGTGAATACGGGGTCAAGGGGACAGCCAGATAAAAGAGAAGCTTGTTAGCAATGACCACAGTTCCCTTCCACACCCCGCTGGCAGCACCGGCTAAGTGCTCCGCCTGCATGAATCTCAGTCCTGCAACAATCCTGCCTAGAGGCTCTCTAGGGGAGGCTTCAGGGAGCAAACTGAGGCACAGGAAGTTAGGGGTGCAGTCAGGGTGGGCTCTGGAGTCTGGGGTAAAGATAAAAAATGGCGCTCGGCGCCTATAGCTCAACGGGCTAAGGCGCCAGCCACGTACACCTAAGGTGGCGGGTTCGAATCCCCAGCCCGGACCCGCCAAACAACAATGACGGCTGCAACCAAAAAAATAGCCGGGCGTTGTGGCGGGCACCTGTGGTCCCAGCTACTTGGGAGGCGGAGGCAGGAGACTCGCTTGAGCCCAGGAGTGGGAGGTTGCTGTGAGCTGTAATGCCACGGCACTCTGCCCAGGGGGATAGCTTGAGGCTCTGTCTCAAAAAAAAAAAAAAAAAAAAAAAAAAAAAGATAAAAAATGCCCCACACTGCCCAAGGGCTTCGGAACAGGGGGACAGCTTTGCTCCACACCCAGACGCTGGTGAAGGTTCATTTGGACCTTGGCCAGAGTGCTAACCCGAGTGCCTGGTGACAGTGGCCACCAGAGGGTGCAGCAGACCCACCTTCTGCCAGGTTTCCTTCCACGGAGGGTTTGGTTGGGACCCAGTTTTAAAGCACAAGAAAAAAGGCACAACACATCCATGTGTTAGGTCAAACTTAAAAGGACTTTGCCTTGGAACTAAAACCTTCCAGATATGAAGGTGGATATCTCTGTTATCCAGTCAAGAAAATAGGTCAAGAGAAAAAATCTGGGCCCAGTTAGAAAAGATCAAAGCCCCCAGCGAGTGAGAGCTGCCTGACCAGCATCACCTGGCTTTGAACTGTCACCAAGAATAGAGGGCCCAGCCCGGCCCAGGCCTCCAGACCTTGGAATTTCCACTGGATTTTCCCTCCTATCGTTCCTTCCTGACACTGCTGTGATTTAGTAGCTGTGTGACCAGGGGAGGGAAACCTGACCTCTTTGAATCTTAGTTTCTTAATCTGCAAGATGAGTATAAAGGTATTAAGCAGAGGGCAGGCACCTTCCCTGAGCGCCAAGCATTTCACAGGCATTTGCTGATTGAAATCTCACAATAGCCCCATAATTGGATAGTGTTGTCCTCACAAGGTGGAAGTTACTTGCCTGTGGCCACGCAGCTCACAATGGATCAACCAGATAAGGACCATGCCTGGCTCTGCCTATCAGGATGGGCTGGGCTGATGTTTCAATATCAAATAAGTGCTGGATCCCAGAGACTTAGAAGAACAAAGGACAGTTTCCTGTGGGGTCAAGTCCATGGGCGCAGCAGTTCTCCCACAGCGGCCTATGAGGTAACCCCGATCCCCTGCTGCTGTTTCATCCTGGGACTGCCAGCTTCACCTTCAAGGTCTTCAAGTTTGCTGCACAGGGGAAGAGGAGATGGAGAGGAGCACATGGCTCCTGACTGAGTCTAGGTAGAGTCAATGGCCTCATTTCCACTCGAGGTCTAGGGGCTAGATTAGCAGAGCGTCCAAACAATGCTGCCGGGGAAACTGGGAGGTGTGAGGGAACAGCCGAGGGGCACGAATATTGCAGACGTCACGTCCCGGCTTTGGAGCCACTCGGCCACCCTGCTCAGTCCTAAGTGACCCTGGCAGAGTGCTCTGTTGTTCTGTAGGCTCAGGGAGAAGCAGACAGACCAGGGCAGACCCAGGAGGGTCCCCAGCATCACAGAGTGGTGGGATCAACCTGTCCAACCCAGTGTCGGTCCATGCACGGCTGATGTGCGGCAGAGAAGCTCGGGATGGGGGAGCCGTAGCTGCTGTTATTCCCTACCTGGCTCATTCCACACAAGCCTGTTCTTATCAGTGCAGACTCTCCAGCCCCAGCCTGGGCGGCTCTCTCCTGCGGAAGAAGTGAGCTCAGTACCGGGAGTTGTCCAGGCAAAGATTGGAGAACCACTTTCTGGAGATGCTATAAAGCAGTTTGGGACCAGGGAAGAGATCTGGGAAGAGAAGGTAGCTTCTGCTGCTTAATCCAGCCCCATTTTCTCAGACAGCCTCCATGTCTGCTCCTGCCCGCTGGCTTCAGGAGCCTCGGTTTCCAAATCTGCACCTTGGAGGGTTTGAACAAGATCTATATATCTTTTATTTATTTTTTATTTCTTTATTTTAATTTTTATGTTTTGAGACAAAGTCTTGCTCTTGCTCAGGCGGTCTCAAACTCCTGAGCTCAAGAGATCCAGCAGCCTTAGCCTCCCAGAGTGTTAGGATTATAGATGTGAGCCAGCCATGCCCAGCCTAAGATCTACATGTCTTGATTTTTTTTTTTTTTTTTTTTTTTTTACCTAATTCCTCATTTCCCAGCATAAGTACAGGCAGAAAATCACTGAGGGCAGAACATTGCTTGGTTCTTCCCTGGAACAATGTGAGGCATGAAATAAAGACGACATTGATTGGCGAGTAGGCCTTTCAGAATTTATCTGCCTAGTATGACAGGCAGCGTACAGTGAGTATTTAACACGTTACAGGGCCCATCTGGGGTACTTAGTGAAATCACACATCTGTTTCTCACACATGGAGACAGGGAGTCTCCCCAGTGGGCACATTCTGCCGATGAGAAAACCGGTGTTCTGAGATGGAGACCCCTTCACCCAGGTGCACACAGCTTGGCAGCAGTGGACCTAGATGTGAACCAGGCTGTCTGGTTTAGAGCCTGTGCTTCAAGGCTGCCTTGCAGCAGCCCCCCAGACAGCTGCCTAATGTACTTTTGGGGCTCCTGATGCTGTGTTTGGCCAGCAGAAGTGAAGCTTCTGGA